TGTGGCGTCGGTCCACGTGTACACCTGGAGCTCATTAGCCGGACAATCGTTTCGCGAGTAGTCGTTGCAGTTGTTGTGCCGACCATTCAGTGATAGGAACACGCGAAGAAGTAGCGGACACTTCTGTCGACACAAACATATCAATGAGACAATCGATACAAACAAAGGGTGTTGTCATGGATGGCGTGCCCAACGGATACATACCTTCTCCCTATCGATGGGTTTGTCTTCTTGTGGCGCTTCTGCGGTCACCACTTGTGATGTCATAATCGATGCCACCGTTTGTTGAATTCAATGATAAATTCACTTTCAAATGAAAATCAACTGAAAAACAGATCAATCAATTGATCCACACTTTGGGTTCACTCATAAATAACGTCATGTATTGAGGAAATCCTAAGTTTTGACCACTTGTTTCGACAATTATCTTCAATTTAGCCATAAACTCATTATCACCGAAAATCTAACCATTAAATCGTTAAGATATTGTTGGGATCAATGAATTAACAACATTTATGGTGTCAGAAGTGGGAACTGTTTGTCACTCATATCATTGATCAGTCAAAGTGTCGGCATTACTGTAGTCTTAACTGTAATTAATGTTTTAGTTTTAGTTGTAATTTGAAAATTTATTCAAAATATTTACAAAAATTGGTGACAATTAATGACAAAAGTCTATAAAACAATTACAAATCATTTTACAGATAAGACATAAATTATATAATCATTGAGTTCTCGCTAAACCTATGGTTCGGGTGGGAATCACACGACTCGTCGCACTTCGAAAAACCTCTTAAGATAGTAGACCTGACCTAAAGTCATGGCCACGAGTACTAAGGCCTCGAAGAAGGCCCACAAGACGACCCGGGAGTTGGTGCTCTCGTTGATGGACCGGTGGATGCGGTCCCTGACAGCCATGTACTCCTGTTCGTGCTTTACGGCCGTCAGAGCGCCCGACAGCTCTTTGATCTGTTCCTCCAGTTTGTTGTGATTAGCGTCTTGTGCTTTGAGCTGTTCCTCAGTCTTGGGAGCGTCGCCGACGTCCATCGAAAACATCACCACTTTTGGCGTCATTGTCGACATCTTATTGCCGAAACAGTAGAGAT